TAGGGTGTGGAAACTGGAAAGTACAGCCAGGCCGGTGTACGGCCAGAGAAGAGCATTTTTTTTTTTGACAGTAATAATCATCTTTTATTCCATCACCAATACGAAGAAAACAATTACAGACATCAAAGGAAATCAGAAATTAGATCAAGAACACTAATCCAGTTAACTGGGAGAGAAGATCTAGCAAGAGATCGTGCAACCCAATCTGCTTTGACTCTTCCTTTTTGGTTGGAAAATGGGTTTCACATTATGTCAATTATTTTAATTTATACCTAGTCGGTTCGGTTGTATGTAATTAACTACAACTGTGTGTTCGTGGAGTTTCTTTAAAGTATGTGGATCACTTTAACGTGCATATCGAGTCGTTATTGTACGTAGTAGCATAGGTGTGTGAGTGGACACCCCCCCTAAAGATCTCCATAGAGTTGGGGTTGGTCAGCTCTCTCGCTTGCAAGTGTACAAAGGTACTCCTTTGTGCTCTGCACACACAATATGCATGATTTTCGTGCTCATCTGGATTTTGTTTCTTTGCTTCTCAATTAACAATATGACATCAGCAGTATATGAAAGAAGAAAAAAAGTTATATCTTCAGGTCCTGTCCGGACGAATATACACCATTTTAAGTGAGCCAACCGGACAACGCTATGCATACATCATCGAATAAGCATTGGAGCAAAGCCATGTGTACATGATATACGTTCCAGAACGTGCAACAAGTTAAGCGAGTCGGTTTCTTCGTGCAGGAATGACATTATGACAATGTTTCATCCAACTTTTCATTACCCATTAGGCAATGTAGTTCTCCCTAAGTGACTACAATTCATAAGTAAGCTTCAAAACAATGGAAACACCAAAAAAAAAAAAAGCTTCACGAAAACTAGGTTAATTAATCAATTCAATTACCCTTTTTTTAGAACAAAGAAAACGGCCTTTTTTTGGGGCATTTGGTAACCGTTGTTTTGCTATATAGTTGGTCAAGGATGGTGACATGATTGAGGAGCAGTAGACTACCCGCCAATCAATGCATGCACCAGAAACGCCAAACCGGCTCCGTAACACACTGATATGATTCGTTAATTGATACATTGGTAGAGGAGGGACGTTGACGCCACTACTTTTGGATCTTTGTTCACTCATTTGATTTCCTAATCCCTAACTAACCAATTAATTACCACCCTTTCCTGATTCAGCCGTCCTAGACTCCTAATTATAAATCCAAATCATCTTTGTTTAGTGAAAGAGGGCGCACTTTCTGTCGAAATGAAGGTTCGGCTTTGGCAACTTAGATTAAATGATTATGGTTGATAGTAGGGCTGGCTATTTGGTCTCGGACTGTTTGGTTTTACTCGAAACCGGACCGTATAACCCGGATCGGGACCGGACTGGGACCGGATAGCAAACAATACAATCTCATATTCGGGCTTAGATCTGAGGTAAAAAACCGGATAAAGACCAGATAAGAGACCCCCAACACCTAAAATCAAGATAAAATTGGGACCGGACCGGGTCAAGACCGGACTGTATCCAATCCAATCTTTGGTCCTTATATTTCCGAAAAGACCGGACTGGGACCGGATCAATTTGGTCCAATTTAACCGGACCGGACCGTATAGCCACCCCTAGTTGATAGCGAAAAATGTCAATTGTAGGGTATTTTGTATAAAAATTATAGTTTAACTGTGGTTCAACTGTTTTCTACCGCTAAAATCGCCTACCGTTTTGAGTTTGGTATCCGATATTTTCGGTGCTACTGGTCAGTACAGTCAGTGGCGGAGGCAGGATTTCAAACTACCCTTGTCCTTTATTCAGAATATATATAATATTTTATAAATATAATTAAAATTAATAATATCTAAATAATTCATTCACAGAGAAACAAAAAACTAACTAATACAATTATTGTTTCATAAGTAACCATGACGAGTTTTCATATTATGAAAGAAATGTAAAATACACTCATTGTTTACATCATAATATCGTGATAATACCTAACGAGCTGTTGTGAAATGATAGTGTCATGTATGAAACCAATAATTTTATTATTTTTAATGAATTAATGAACAAGTAATGAGTTATGTTGTAATGTTAAAATATCCTTATATTACTTGTAAGTGTTTAATTCGATCTGTACAAATATATGTGGTGTTATTTTTTTCCCTCCCTAAAAGTTACCCCTGTCCCGGGACAGGGGCAAACACCCCTGCCTCCGCCTATGAGTACAGTAGTGTTTCTTAAACCTCGCTTCAAGTGTGATAAAAACGAATTGTGTTAAACTAAAGGTACTTAATTACAAGAATATCATGGAAATCAAGTATATCCTCCTAAAATATTTTCTTGTAACTCAATGTATATAGTAATCGATAGTCCACAATCCACATTAGTTGGTTAATATTTTATGGTTAGATAGCAATATCGGCGTCGATGTCACGTTGCACGCCTTCTTGGGTTTTTGGCATAGAAAATGGGCATGGGATTGGGAGGAGCTCACATCAATCACCAACCCATCCTAACTCCTAGCAATTTTTTCAACACAATCTTCTGCGCTTTTGTTGCATACATAATAACAATAATATGCACCCCCACTTTGAATTTTAATGTAAAGTAAAGCAACCATAATCTTCAGTCTCTTATTAACTATTTCTCAATTAGTTTGGAAATTGCAATTCCCGATCAATCTTAATTCACAATTACCCATATAACCATGTCAGGAGTTAGTTAGTAAGTTACTATACCAATATTATATTGAGGGGTTGATCAAGATGCAAGCAATACAGTGGAGAGCATATACTAGATGAAAATATTTTGAGGGTTATGATGCTTAATTAATTATCCAATACAATATTTTTTTTAACGAATATACATTACATGTGGCCTCGCACATAGGCAAATCAATAACACATAAGTGGGATTGACTCGAGTTTATCGAGCGGGTGTCCTATGATTGAGATCATTTTACCCGAAATAAGTAGTATTCTCGTATTTTAGTACAAGAACATCTGTTTTATTTGAGGTCATCCTACATGCTTAGTAAGCATAGTTTGCTGATTAGCGATCAATTAGGAAAATTTTGTATCGAGAAAGAACGAGAAACCCCTATAATACTAGATTTTTCGATTGTATATTGAACAACATAAAAAAAACAATAACAATATATAGAAGATAAAAATGTTGCTAAACCTGGGAAAAGAAGATACTTGGGCACCAAAAATAAGTAACAGGAGGAGGGAAAAGAGATTTAATTACCATTAATTAAGATAGGTAAAAATTTCAGCCAAGATGGCACATTATACATTGCTCAATTACTTCTTCCCCACAAAATAACCACACCAAAAAAAAAAGTAAAATCCCAATAAAAATATAATAAATTTAGTTTATTATCACAATGAAGGGAAGATGGAAACTGCAGCAGCAGCAGGAAGAACAACACCGCCACCACCACCGGTGGCGGCGATTGACCGGCCGGCGAACAACCGCTTCCACTGAATCCTAATCATCCGGCAAATCCTCAACCTCGCCGCCGACATGCTCAGAACCACGCCCTTCCTCAGCTTCTTCAACCTCCTCCCGATCCTCACCTTCAACTTGCAGAGCTTGATCTGGCAAAACGACGCGCCCCGCCGCGAATCGTCGGCGCGTTGCATCACCTTGTAGATCAGGAACTGAGCCCGACGGTGGAATACTTCTTCTGGGTCTTCCTTGTCCAGCTTGGCGTAATTACCGCCGCCGTACGGCTGGTTCATTATTTTACTGCTCATTTTGTTTTTTGTTTTACTGTGGGGGTAACAAAAATGGGAGAGGAAGAGAAGGGGAGAGAATGAGAGAAAGTAGAGATTCAGATTGAAGAGTGTGGAAGGAGGAATGGGGGGTAAGGAAACAGTGTATTTATAATGTGGAAGAGGAAAGGGAGGGAGAGAGAGGTCCAGAGTCCTATTCTGATGTCATTAGGAGAGATGGATGATGGGTTTAAGCAGTCCCATGTGCATTTTTAATGTTAAGTGAATTGGTTGGGATTAAAAAAATATTAATGGGTCGATTGGTATATTTGATTTTTTTAAAGAGATTCAACAAGATCAAAAGTTTGAAAACGGTAACGAATGTTACGAGAATTTGGTTGATATGATATAAATATCGGTTTGGTCTGGCAATGATTCGTTTGAATTTTGGTCCAACGATATTGGGAGTATAGTACTCTACAGCCTAATATGAATTTAGAGAGAGAGTTGGATGACATTGATTTTTGGTAGCTCATAGAGCTTTATATATAGTTTCACATACCAATTGTGAGATGAAGCACTGGAGCAAGGCTATATATGACATGGTCATGCTTGTGAAAATTCAGGGTCATTTAAGTGAATTAGATTCATGATATGATGTTAAGGATTATGAGTACTTTGATATCGATCAATTCCCTTACAATTTTAAATATTGTTGATTAATCTTGTTCGTTCGAGCAAGCTGCTATGCCATTATATTTAAATCGGAACTACTCAGATGATTAAACATTCTTTTGCTTTAAGACTAACTCAATGATTCGAGTTGTATATTCAGAATCACAAGTGCAGGCGCTGTTGAGGCTGCTGTCCCAGACTTTGTTCCAAATGGCACTACTCAACATTTTTATATTTTATTATGTGTCCATAGAGACTAGAGAGGAGACCTTCGTCCCCGACTTATAAAATCCAGAGTGTTAATTAATAGAATATTCAATAATTAAGGACGAATTTGTGAGGTTTATTGTAGATGCTTAAATTGGGGGCGGTGTAAACTAGATAGGTGGCTCTAAAGCGTTTGAGCAGTTTATTGAAAGATGGGGGAAAAAGACATATATTATCAATTAAGAGTGGTATATGTTTGTTTTCAGATTTGAATTTTGGGACTTTCATATTTAAGACTAGTAGTGTTATCACTAATCAAAATCATTGTTCGCAATATCAACAAAACAAAGCTTCATTATAAAGTGAGCTAGCTAGGTCTAGGGTAGGGTTATTATCATTGATTATGCATTTGTGCATATTCATTATCTGACTTCTTGATTTTGAGTGAGGCCACATATAACTAAGGGGTGAGATTTGTTTTTGTGTCTACATTGTTTAGACTCAAATTATTAAAAAAAATTATATGTTTCGTGATAAAAAAAATTGTACCACGCATTACACTCGTTACCACTCTGGTGGCACCTGGTACTGCCTTCCCTTTAACTTAAATTTTGAAATTTTTTTCATAGAAAAAATGGGTTCATTGTGATTAACAATTTATGGAGAGAAAAATATGTTATACCGGTACAGGGTGTTAACCAGTGATATTGTTAGTATGTGTCATAAGATTCATTATTGAACTTCCTCCTCCAACAACTCGAGTTATTGAAACAAATTGATTCTTAACACGCGATATCAGAGCCTTCGTTCCGTGATCGAGATGTCTTCTATTCGAATTCTAACGATTCCATTTTTGGATCGGGCAAACCTTCAAACCCGTATTAATTGCTTGAGTTTTGAGGGACGATGTTAGTATTTCACTTTTAAGATTTATTACATGATATAGACTACCATCTAACATTAATCCGTTCCTCATTTTCTTCCCGAGTATCCAAGATTGATCTTTTTTTTCTTTTTTTTTTCGAATCCAAGATTGATTATAAGAAGTAAGTTCTGCACCGGTTAAATAATAAATATACCAAATTAAGAGCTTTGCTAGCTATAGCCAGATGAGATAGCGCGTTATACAGTGGAAAAACGGACAACCAATTACACATGCCAATGGAGCTATGTGGAAACTTCCCACCGCCGGCATGAAACGGCACAATTTATTCACCCAAATTATTGCCCGGAGCGATCCATCGGCCGACGACAGTGACAGTAACGGGGAAGTTAAGAAGTCAACTCTCTCTATCTTATCTTATCAATCATTTTGCGTTCGAATGCATGACTGCACTACACACACCCACATGCCGTCTCTGCCTTTTTTAAACAGTTTTCTGTCCATCCAAATCCAATAATGTTATCGTCTCACGTATATGATGACCGGGGAAATATTGAAGTATGCCATATGTGCAAGAAACAACCACTTGTGGGGGGAGGAGTAGGTCGCGAAACGACATGGGATTTACGTGGTCCGTGATTACAAACGTGTATTATGACATGGTTATATGAGGATCGAGTTCGTTATTTTTCATATATGAATTCCCGACTCATTCTAGCTAACTCGTCCAATTTCGCACTTGGTTGGTCACGCATACGACTCGCATTTTGGAGTAGCACTCGATATTGAGAATAATACAGTTTTTGCTGTTACTAGATACAACTTGTCTAGTATGAACAATTTCATGCGTCTGCTCTTTGACTTTATACACTGTCCAAGCTGGATTTGGTTATTGTTCATTTGTTTGGCTGACTAATCGAGTGATGATCACTCTCTCTCTCTCTCTCTCCCTTCAATAATTCTGCTGAAATTATTAATCAACGAACTAGGAAACAAGGCTGCGACGGTGACTGCTTATGTTCACCGACTCTTGCATTATTTAGTATAGTTTGGGAAATATGGCCATATGCCTTTTGAACAGTGATTTTGATCGGATGACTGCCTGCGGAGGCAATGATTAACTATTTATGAATACCTATTGGATGCATGCTATCAATGATCGTAGAACAAATAACGGTGTGGTCAAATAACTGTTACGAGTGTTCAAACATCTTAACGCGTTGATTAACGACCATCGTTCGATTGTGTATATCACAATTAACAGTCGATGAAAGCAAGTAATGACAATTACTTATACAACTGTGGTCTAGAGGGCCACTTTCATCTGTTTCTGAATGTCTGACGGCTATAGGCTTTAGTTACTTGGGTAGAGAGGAATACAAGAATTTTCGGGTTCTTATAGTTGCAGCAATTACAACAGACATGGGAAGCAAGCTCTGCCTTTTCTGCGATTACAAGCCATTAGTGTCACTATTTCAGCTTCTTGGTGAAGTCGGAGAGGTGGAGAAGCTGAATCCGAGGGATGCTTTCTGCTTCCTCTCTCTCTTTCCGCGTGTTGTATCCCCAGTTACCTGTCCAGATCATTATGCAAGTTCACATAAATGGAAGAATCAACACAGTTGAGAACAATGTGGAAGAAGAGAGGAAGTCTGATATACCTAGGTACAAGTTCCATCCATCCAATTCTGGCTCTTTGATCACATTCTTGAGGGTTGCAAGCCGATCTTCGACGAAACTGGCCAAGATCAAGCAGCACAAGTTAATATGTAGCAAAGCTGGCTTGCTCATAGCACGTTTTAAAACAACTGGAAGGAATCTTACTGCAGGTTCAGCCCCTGGTGCTCTGGTCTCTTCTGAAGTTGCTTCAACACTTCCACTTTGGGTCTGAAATCAGAGACATAAACACCAAGGTAGAAATGGGATGGAACTTAGAATAGAGAACCACGAACCTTAATTTTTCACTTGGACCACCAAATTAGTCTTGTACATAGACTGACCCGGTTCCCAGACCATAGATTCTTTCAGGGGGGATTGTCACACCTGCCAGCTCTCTCAGTAAAGCGTCTGCAAATCGGCCCTAGCACAGAGACAAGACGAGATTAAATCGAGGGCGGGAGTGACTTGTGTAGAGGCATACGGACGCAATAGATTGATTTGCAGGGCTTTACCTGTTTGGTGGTGACTATGTATATTGTGGAGCTTGCAAATTTCAAGGCTTCAGGAACACCAGGATAGAATCTGCAGGAGCATCAGTTCACATTCAAAAACTTCAGAGACAATTGTATTCGATTATGCACGAGACCGCATGATAAATGAGTTGAACATACTAGCAACCTGTTAGCTCCAATCCAAGTTGTGAAGTCCGTTTCCAACCACTCATCCCTGACCTTTCCGAAAAACTCAATCAGTTCATCTCGATTTTGCTCTCCCCATTCTTCCATGACCACGGGTTTGATCTTCATCCAGCTTTCCAATATTGCATCCACTGTGAGTCCCTCAGCAACCTTTCAAATTGAACCACAAAATCATACAAATTACAAAGCAATTCTAACTGATCAGTTAGCAAACAGATGTGCATTGGCATCTAATTCCACTGTCACACCCATCCTTTCCTGCGACATCGATCCAATTCTTCTACCGTGACTGCTGAAAGCCATTGCTGTGCTGCTTCCCTCCTCGCTCACCTCGTCCAGACAGCTGCTCTAACAAAGCTCCAACCTTGGCCTAGTGGGACAAATGCAGGGAAGCAGCACGGTAGGTAGAGTGGCAGAAGTGAAAGCAGCAAAGCAACAGCTGCAGCCAGGCAAAGCAGGAGGAGAGATCGATGTACCAAGGGAACTAGGGAAGCCAATTAGGGATGGCAATTACCCACCCCATGGGTAATTATACCCAAACCCAAATAGACCCATTGATAATAAACATTGGCATCGCTAAAGCCAATGAGATTATATGAACATTGATTCACCCTAACTTCTAATTGACAAGAAAATTTCTCATTCTGGCAAAAGGTATACCGACCGAGGATGTCCTCGTTGATGGCACTCTTATCTCCAGCAACAACCTCACAAGCAGCAAAAGTTCATACCCAGTTTCCACAACAGGCCGCACCTGAAATAGCACGAATCATAAACCCGAGTCAGTTAGTCAAGTGAAGACATTCGGTTAACATGACACATTAAACAGATTGCCACATGAACACGTTAAAACGAACCCGGCGCCCAACGTTCAGCAAGCGTTGCTCGAAATTAGATATATAAAACAATGGTGACCTATATAAGAATCAAATTCGTCAATCCCGCAGGGAAGAGAAAGGCGGCTTACAGTGTACATCTGAGCAACGATCCACTCCTCAGTGGCTGAATCCATGGCGGTAAACAGGTCCGGCCATCTCAGCTTGCCAGCCTATTTGGAACGAGAACGCAACAAACAGACTGAAGGTTTCAATTCGAAGGAAACGCAACAGATGAAATGGATGTCAATTTGATGCTCGGAATTTTCTCCGAGACAAAATAGAATTGAAAGGGGAAAAGGGATGACAGTGGGGGAGGAGGCAGAGACCTTAACGGCGGAGAGAGAGCTTTCTCCGCAGCTATCGCATAGAACTCCATCGAAGTCCAAGGCGTAGAGGTCCGCCATTTTCTTGCTTCTCTTCTCTACAACGCTTCTGCTCCTCAATTTTGAAGATAGGAAGATTTTGCCGCTGCCGATTACCCGCCACTCGCCGGCTCTATATATAGGAGATTCGCGCTGGTTCTTCCGTCGCTTAAACGACGCTGCTTTGAGAATCAGTCGGGTCAAATTATTGTTCTTAGAATTTTAGGGCCCAGTAATAAGTCTCAGCCCACGAGGCCCATTAAGGGCCCAGTTACCCACGACCCGCCCCACACAGGCGCAAAATACTTCCATTCCTCCCTTCCGATACCGGCCATCCGTTTTCCCGGCCGGCCGTACAGTTTTCCGTTATTGCATCGGTTCATTTTTTTCCCCCCTCCCTTCTGTTCCCGAGCAAAATAGAAACGCCGCCGCCGCCACCGCCACCGCCACGGCTTGCGGGAATGTGGAGAACGCTGCGGATTTCTTGATACCTGCGCCTCTTCCCTCGTGGACCGACTTCTTCCCGGCTACTGCCGAAGCGATTTCAATTTATCTTTGGCGCGCCGGCGAACGCGAATACTGTGAGTTTCCCTGCCACTTTCTTATGCTAAGATTTCTTTTTGCTTTCTTTTAACGCTGCAAATTCAGAATTAGGGAAGAGAATTTAGTAAGGTAGTTTCAATGGCGGTTTCCCTTCAGGCTGTCCGAATTTCACTGCAACTTTAATTTCTGTCTAGAATGCCATTGCCAGTTTCGGTCCGTGAAAAGTCGACCTATCTTGGCCTGTTGATTGTCAGTTTTAGTTGAAGCGACTAAGCTTTCTGAGTACGTTGCAAACATGTAAATTGCTGCTAAAGTCATTTAATTTCACCTTATTGCAGCATTTTTTGGTGTTCTTCGGGGGGAATTTTGTCTGGATTATGGAAGTATTGACGATGGAGGAGGAGTAAGGATGATTCAGGTTCAATGATATGACCACCAGGTTCAATGAAGCGACAATGTAAGTTAATCATTTCTCATTTGGAGGGGAAAGCAGCAGAATTTGAGTAATGTTCACTACTGTTTGCTGAGTTTAGAGAAAGGTAGGCCCAGCTATGAGCTCGAGATGGTGTGATTCAGGAAAACATAAGAGTAACAAATGTGTTCACGATTACTGCCTGAATCTAGAGATGTTTGTTCTTGTGGTAGAATTGTTAAATTGTGAATCTTTTGTGGGGCTTTATTATGCATTTTCCTTATATGTAGATATATTCAAGGGGAGACTGCTGCTGTCACATTAATTGTGTGTGCCGTTGAAAAAGCGTTACGTTTTCCTCTCGCTGATTCGGCTTCAAGATTGAAAATTTTGCCTATATATAAGCTTCCGGAGCCTTCGAGGCAGTGAGCAGCTTCCCCAACAATATTGTGAGGTCCAAGGGAAAATCCAGTCCTGTTGTGATCTTCAGAGAGAACAGGTGTGCCACCCTTTTCGTTCTTTCCTACAGAGAAGTTCGTATGTATCACGTGATTTATATCACAAAATCGTTAGATCTGGTTACTTCTATATGGTCCTATATAGATCTTGTGAAGTATTGTGTTTAATTTTTGAATTTCATGTATATTTGCACATAGTTCGTAATCATGTGTGCTTCTGTTTTGTGCAAGAGATCTCTTTTCATTTTTCCCTACAGAGAAGTTCGTATATACCACGCGATTTTATTACAAAATCTTTAGATCTGGTTATTGTTCGTTATAGTCCTATATAGATCTTGTGAAATATTGTGTTTGTTTTTGGAATTTCATGTACATCTGCGTATAGTTCGTAATCATGCATGCTTCTGTTTTGTGCAAGAGAATTGGATATGACAGATCTAAGGACCTAGTTGCCTTTGCATCTCGTGTGATCGAATTCTATATAATCCTGGATGGATCTTGTGAAAAATTGTGTTTGGTTTTGGATTTTCATGTACATGTGCACATACTTCGTAATCATGCGTGCTTCTGTTTTGTGCAAGAGAATTGGATATGACAGATCTAAGAACCTAGCTGCCTTTGGATCTCCTGTGATCAAATTATATATAATCCTGAATGAATCTTGTGAAATATTGTGTTTGTTTATCGAATTTCATGTACATTTCCACATAGTTGATTCATAATGATGGATGCTTTTGTTTTGTGCAAGAGAATTGGATATGCCAGATCCAAGGACCTAGCTGTCTTTGTATCCCCTGCCATTGAATTCTAACCCTCCCACTTTTGCGTCTGCCTTTGATTGTTTCACGTTTCCCTCTCAAATATTTGACTCTATAGGAAAATAATTTATTGGATTACCCTTTGCATATTACTATTTGATAGCAATGCCAACTATGCTGAAGTCTTGTAATTCTTCAGTTGAGAACTCCTGTTTGGGTATTGATGTCTCTTTGGACAATTTTACTGTTCCGTTGGAAGTTCTTTAAAAACAATTTCCTATCTTCTCACACAAGAAATTTGATATTTACAGTAGTCTTTGTTTAAAGCATGTGACCGGAACAAGGTCTTATTACTCTCTAGTTTTTTCAAAACAATTTACATGCAATTCATGAATTACGCTAGGAACTCCAAAATACATGAGGGTAGGCTGTATCTCAAAAAGTGCATTCTACACATGTAGGTTCAGCATATGATTTATTTCACCTTCTCCCATAGTTTACTGCGGAAATACACGAAATCAAACTTTTTCCCCACAAGTACACGTTGCATGATGGCATGCAACTGCGACAAGTAACATCCATTTACAAATGCACTGAAGCAAACCATGCCCTTAGGCAAATGTGCTTTGTCCATCTATAATTAGTTGCTATTTTACCTTTTCAGCTGGTTGTTTTCTATCTTTAGCAGTAGTCTAAGACTTGAAAGAGTTATTCTGCCATCTTTTTTCTTGCAGTAGTGCATCGCAAACTTCAAGATGAACCCGCAGAATAATCAAGGCTCTAGCTCTTCAACACCAGTAGACCCACCTCTGAAGCGCAGGCGTGGTCGCCCACGCAAAGACGAGGCCCAGCCCCAGGCAGAAACCATGTCATCTCTGCCTAGGGGGTTCGACCATACAAGAATAAACAACCCGCCTTTCGGTCTGAGCAACCCTAGTGGTAATAGCGGGCTGGTGGCTGATCAGGCACCAGCAGGCATCAACATGATCGGCCAACCATTTTCCGGCATCATTGATGCCCAATTTGATGGCGGGTATCTTCTCAAAGTCAAAATAGGTGACAATGACACTTACTTGAGAGGAGTTGCATTTATCCCGGACCGAGTCGTTCCTGTCACTGCCTCTAACGACTTGGCGCCACAGGCAAGAATGTACACAAGGACTGAGGTCCATATCCCGCCTCCTCCACCAGCTCCACTCCAGCCTCAAGTCCAGGGCTCTTTTCCATCGTCGTCAGAGCAAAGTGTAAAGCAATCTGCTTATCCATCCAAGGCTGGTGTTCAGCAATTAGGTTCAGTTACGCTACCTCTCACTGATAAATTCCTAGCAGCAAGTAATGTGGGACCTTCTGCAGGAGGGAAAATGATATCACATCAAGTTTCAGATTCTGGAGCTGCTTCCATTTCAATACAGTCAGTAAGTGGCATGGTTTCCAAACAGGATGAGTTACTGCAAGAGTTTGATGCCTCGACAAGGAAGGTTACCGATGAAAAAAGACCAGGTGGTCCCCCTGCAGCAGCTACCACCTTTGGTGTTTTGCCAGCCAGTGGAACTGTCAATCTCGAGCTTCAAATACAGCACCAAGCCGATGGGCTTAAAGCCAGTCAGTCAGCACCTTCCTCAGCCACGGATGGAGGGAAAATTGCAAACCTGGAGCTCACCCAGCCTTCTCCTGTGATCAGCGAACCGGGAAGGGGTATCGTCTCTTCTCAATCCATGAGCATGTGCTTGGGAAACCCAACTTCTCCAGGGAAAGCTGCACCACCAGAGTTCCCTTCTGCTGGCACGAAGGTTACTATCACTGACACTCCATCCCTCCACCTAAATGGTGGTGGCATTACTCAAATCCCCAAAGTAGATGCTATGGCCAAGCCAGATTCTGAGGGATCCTCTGCTGCTGTTCAGAAAATACTGGAACCCCAGTTCGTCTGTTCATCTGGTGCTCAGATAGAGCTGTTCGACAAAGAGACTGCTGTTGCTGCCCCGACTGCACCAAAGCTTGGAAATGATGGTAGCGTTCTTCCTATAGTGAGTGAGCCTGAGTTTTGCAGTGCTACCCACAGTGCAAGTGTCGACTGCAACAACATCAAAGATGCTGCTATTCCGCCAACCGAATCTTGAGATAGAAGGGTCATGAAATGAGTTTGTGGAGCTTAGGATAAGGGGCACTATGAATAAGTAAAGCTCAATGCTTTCATACATGGTGTAGTTTAGGCTTACCATTAGAAATCTGAAAAACCTCAGCTTAGGTTATTTCTTTTGTGAAACCTCAGCTTAGTAATTGTGTCAAAATTGTCAGATGTTTCTTAGCCTTCTTAACCAAGGTTTTCATATATGCGAGTAGAGTTTTACATTTCCATCCTAATCTCAATTTTCTCGTCAAACGGTCAGTCTCTTCGCTTTGCCCTATTTCCTAAGTGTGGTAGTGGTTGAAATCAAAGGATACAGATGATTTGTCAACCGGAACAAGAACCCTAAGAAGATCCATCTGGCGTTTGGCGTACTACGAAGATCTCCGCATCGATCAAACAAGCAGACAAGAAAGAGCATTCCATCCCATACATTAGAACACATAGAAAACAAACTGATATATATAGATCAAACATAACTGAGTGCTAGTTTCATAAAGATATCAGCAAATAAGTTTTTATCACAAAGGCCCCAGAAATTTGGTTCCTCCCTCACAAAGAGCTGCTGGTAGGGCATATAGAGTCACTGCCCCAGAGTCGCATTAGTTCACATAGGCTTTCACTACATCGCAAGTCGCAAAAATGGCCAAGACCTTTCAGGTCCTATGGCTATAACCCACTTGCTGCTGCTGGGGTGGCTGCTGTTGGTAATTGGCATAGCCTGGGTATCCTCCTCCATAGTACATGCTTGGGTCCTGGGGAGGTGGAGGTTGCGCGTAACCGTAGTTCTCATACCCCTGTGCATAGCCGTAATATCCAGCAGCTTGGTCGGCAGCACCACCACCATTCCACTGATTGCTGGCCTCAGACTGCTGCAGGAAAAGAAAACGCACCAATGACATTAGTTCATGTGTGCAACAAATCGAAAATAGGACAAAGAAAAAAAGATTTTGTGTGTGTTGGGGTGGATCACACTTTACACACAATGCTCCGGAAGTGCACGCAAGACAATAGCTGCGGAAGTAACAGACGAAACAAAATGGTACAATATGAAGTTCAATACAAAAACAAATCACACGAAATGGCCTTAGGGGATTCAACATATTGTGGTCAGCTGATATGATTTTCGGTTAACTGGAGTCCAACATTTCAACTTGAAATCAATACCAATTCGATATTGGTTAACCAAAATTACAGATTTTGGTTGACTTAGATTTGACCATGAACCATTCCCTCCAATCTAAGCAAAACGATAACCTGTGTGTCAGAAGCAAGTAGCGAAAGATTACCTGTTTGTTGGAAGAATTACGGCCCCATGAAAGTCGAATACTTTGTCCACTCAGTTCAGCCCCGTTTAACCTATTTAAGGCTTCCTCTGCACAACTCCTGATGCAATGAAAAAGGGAAATTCAGTAACAGGACAAAAGTTCCATCGAGACGGTTAAGAAGAGCAATGCAGACCTATTGGCATACTGAACAAATCCACATCTTTTGCCCGCTGGTATCTTTACATGCACCAATTGGCCATATTGGCCGAACAGTTCTCTCAAATGGTCATCCGTGACATTGGAGTCCAAATTGCCAACAAAAATCTGTTGCGAGATTTCCATTAGATACAAACTGGTAAAGTAATTAACTCTAACACTCAATAAGAACGAAACACCTACAGTTGTATTATTCGGGTCATTCTCGCTATCCCTTTGGGTGGAATTCTGAAATGAAGCTGCAAATAGAAAGCAAAGCGTATTCGAGAATGAAAAGAATGTAAATCATTTGACTTGTCCAAATCACAAGTGAGTCCCACTGTATTTTACTCAATGCAAAATCCTTTCTAAGACCAGATGGCAATCTCAAACCCCGAATAACTACTTGAAAAATTTCATCCAAGGTCAAGAAAGACAAACTACACAATAGAAAGATGGCATCATGATGTACAAGGAACAATCAATTAAATGAACTAAATAGACTGATGGAATGAAAAATTAAATGGACATATAGGTGGCACTACAAGTGAAACCAGCAGCTGCACACAAAATCCCCTTGGACGCTTGAGGCATTTCTAGGTGAACTCACCTGGCCTAATGAATGCCAAGCATCCAATCGCTAGAGATTTGTACCTGTGCATTAGGCTTGCTCAGGCACCCTCTTAGCACACTGCTTAGGACCGGTCTAAGTGAGTCCACATATTAGAGCGAGGGTAACTGATACAGCAGAAATCAATTCCTGGCACCAACAATAATAGAACCTCTCAGCTCCCCCTGGTTTTGGAGAACAGGACCTCTATGAGTAATGCAAGTTTCCGTATCTCAAAAAAATGTATTCTTCCGGAATATGAAGCGGAATTACAGGACTTGAAAAGCTGAACCCGTCTCCAAAACCATGATAGACTGTGAAGCCTAAAGGTGGACTAAAAATATCCCTAGACTAACATTCATTATCTCGTAATTGGAGACCAGATAAAAAAATAATAAAGATAACAAAGTATACAAAGGAAGTATCAACTGCAAACCCACATAAAGAGCTGAGAGGCATACCTCGTGGAGCCATGGTCTTCTTGTTAGATGCTACCCCAACCCGCATAGGCCTTGTGGAGCAGAACACTCCATTCATCTCAGTCATTGCACGCATTTGTTCACCTTCATCAGTAAACCGAACAAATCCGTAACCCTTAGTCCGCATAGTTGTTCGGTCAATCACAACTTTAGCACCCTTCACAGACGGATAGCGGACGCTGAAAGTTTCCTGGAGCATGTAATCAGTAACATCGGCTGCCAAGTCCCCGACAAATATGGTGTACTCTGGACCATCGTCACGCTTCTCGCCAGTACCATACGATGCCCAATTCAGCCTGAAGTTCTGCTCACCGTTCGGCATAGGTGTGCCGTTGAAGGTCTGCAGTATCCTCTCTGCGGCAGCATGGCTGTTGAGCTCCATAAACCCGTACCCTTCCGCCTGATTGGTCTGCTTATTGCGTATCACTTTCACTGAAGCAACCTATAGTCAACACACACAAAAACACGACTCCTTCAATCACGGATTTATCAACAACAATAAGAGGGAACCAATATATTCCTACAATCAAAGGTGAAAGCAGTCGCCATCGAGATCCAAAAACAAGCACAGGAAAATCAACAGAAAACAGATCTTCAGTTCCCAGTATCCTCCCACGCTCTGCTTTACCTCGCCAGTGTGAGAGAAGCAGGAGTGCAGATAGTTCTCGTCCATCCAGTACTGCAAGTCGCCGATCCACAAAGTTCGAACCTCGTCACTACCGCCGCCGCCCTGCGGGACCTGTTGCTGCTGAGGCAGCTGAGCCTGCTGGCCGTTCCACATAGCTGCCTGCGGAGGCTGCGATGGCGGCGCCTGAGGCATCATCATCATGTACGGCGGCTGCTGCTGGTACTGCTGCGGTGGCATCGCTTGCTGAGGGGGGATTCCGCCGGCTCCCTGCTGTGGCATCATCGTGAAATTAGGAGGAAGAGGGGGATTTTTTGCGGCGGAGGATTGAGGTAGAGGAGCGCGGGAGGGAGCGGAATAAGAACCCTAACCCTAAAACGCCACAGAGAGAACCTTAGCGAAGCACCGCTGCAGAGAGAGAAAGGGAGTCGCACCCGCCACAGGCTTTCTCGGAGATATACTGTCTGTCTGTTGGAGAATAGGAAAGCGCGGAGTAATTAATTAATAATAAAAAGCTGGCGCCGTGGTGGCTGGCCGGAATCCAAATTAGGATCCAATTAAGATTTCCTTGATCGGGCCGAAGGTAGCGGCCCAACTTCCTGAGGACACTTGAAAGCCCATGATTAGTTGAGACCATTTTCCTAATGATTTTGGTAACGATATGACAATGGGTCGGGTTGGGTTGGGTTTTCCCAAACTCAAATTCATGGTTTTATCCGTGAAAAAAATCCGGATAAAATTTATTGGGTTTGAAAAACTCAAACCCAACCCAACCTGCTGGGTATCCGCGGGTTCATGGGTACCCACGAGTTTTTGTCGTAAAAAATTTACAATAACTGGTTTCTATCAAAATTAAAGTCAAATATCAATCTCTCAATACAAATTATCCATATATAAAACACCATTCTAAAATATTCAAGCAAATCACAAATTAACTATTTTCGTAAGTCTTTCGAATAGATAAGATAAAAAGAGACATATTTGATTCAAGTAAGTGGCGAATTATCCCAACTTTAACAAGAAGGCTTATGAAAAAAAAAACTCGAATGAGATATTATGAATTAAAAAAAAGAGATGATTTATGAGAGATAGAAAATGTTGAATAACAACTAATTAGCAAATGTGAAGAGGATAGAAATTCGTGATAGGAAGAATGAAACGGAGAAATTAGTGAGTATTCTCCGCCTTCAATCCTAATGAAACTAGTTTTGCACTATACTACTAATTATCAAAACGAACCAAACATCAATTTGACTTATCACATTCTAACTGCTAAAAATTAGAGACTCACGATAGGCAAAATGGAGAGGATAAATCAGTGATCGTTTTTCGCCTTCAATCACGAAACTAGTTTAGAACCATACAACTAATAGCAAAAAGAACCAAACATCAATTTGATATATCACATTCTACCTGCTAAGGATTAGATGTTACAACATACTCAACTCCTAAATCCTTTTTTTATACCTAGAGGATTGTTATACAAGATTACATCAAACCCATGATTTGATTACTCGATATTTCTCACGTCATTGTTAATAGAGCGAAACGACATCGTTTCACACATCAAACACAATAGACCTAAACCTACTACATGTTTTACAACACTGTCAACACCGATCATATACGCCACAAATTTGCTCACTACTTCCCCCTAACGAGCTTGAGGAGCTCAGAGGCCTCTCTTAACCTCCTCCTCTCCACGTCTCTTCTGCTCTCTACTCCACCTCGTGGGTTCCTGCACACAACACTCGTTCCCAGTTGGTTCAATTTTCTCTTACACCAATTAGATCAATCTATACTGCTGTTGCTGTTCAAACAAAAAAGAACTGGTGCCTTATTGTTTTACCTCCTTTCAGCTGGCGCCTTCTTTCTTTTCAGTTCTTCTACCAGACTGTCCAGCCTTTTCAGGAGCGCAGGAGACCTTCGAATGACCTCCATGCCCTTCTCATTCCTGCACAGCTTCCTCAGAAGCTCCGACGCTGTGAAATATCCTTCCTCCTTGTTCCTTCAACATGGAAGAAAAAACAATGTGAACTAAGAATGACAACCAAATCTAAGAGGTGGATATTCTCTAATGAACCAAAGTCTTTATTAAGTTATGGCACAATCCACAATACTTATCTATCTCCGTTCTCTAAAGCTAAAGTTGAAATTTTTAAATAGGATCATATTCATACATAGTATCCTATCAATGCAGCTGGGAATTCCTAGTTGGGTGAACATAGAGTGTTCAAGTTATCAGCTAAGAGTTCGTAATGTTGGGGGTTACCTGAAAAACTCCATAAAGATCGTCTCTACTGATCCACTGCAGTCGATCAGTGTCTCGACCAAGTGTGGATACCGAGCGAGGTTTCTGAGAGTGGACAGTGCATGCTTTAGCACCTCTTGATCAGGTATGCTCCGGCTCACAGACCGCATCAGCTTCAGTAGCATGGCGATGGCGCCAGCACCAACGAGCTCCTCGCAACATCTCAGCGAGTGTTGTGTTGTCCTATCTGTCAACGAAAGTAGTCCCAAAGGTAATTAACTCACAGGCATATATTGAAACAATACTCATAAGTGCTTGGGTTTAGATTGGGGGGGGGGGAGCAAACTTGTTACCCAAGGTTTGACAAATTTGGAGGATGTTGCTCATGCTCTTCATACTAACTAGTTCTGAAACTGCGACTTTGAGCTTGTTGATGATTCGCATACTGTCATCCACATTGCTAGCTGATTTCTGAATTCGCAGGCGTAAGTCATGTAGCTGCCCTTTTGATTCTTTCCTTGCAAGGTAGCCTCTCCAATGTGACTGTAAATGTGAAAAGAGTATGTCAAGAACAACTTGTTCTTCAAAGAGGTATGTCAAAATTTAGAATTTTGGAAGTACGCTTTCGAATTTGGCATAATGAATATGCTTTTTCACAAGTATATTCATGGCTGATAAGCATATTCATTATGTTAAATAGGTTCAGATCCATCCACTAGTGTTATCAATAGGATTACAGATAGGGGTTCCACATGTGCAAAATGATTCACAAAAGGTGTCCGACTTTCAAATGTCAGCATGCCTAGATTCCACATGCTTGTTCAGAACAAGTGTTTTCATGCCTAGTTTAGAGTACATTAAACGTTTGCTTAGCTGGGTAATATGCAGAAAAACCATAGTATATAATACCAATGATCATCAGGACACAATTAAGCACGTCTGCAAGATCCCATTAGTATTCCAATTTCCAACAGCGATGGGTGTCCTTTTTCATTAAGATTGCATGTTCTCTAGCAGAAAAAGGTAGTCAAAACTTAAGATCTGAAAGACTTACTTGAATCATAATGACTTGGTGCCTTTCTGTATTGATCCTTTGCTTGGATATCCAAACTCGGACATGAGACTGTATAATCATCGCGGCCTTTGTCCTACGTTTATGCAGTGAAACACTCTTCCACCACCTTTGGAGCTTGAACACCGAAGACAAAACAACTTGCAACTGGAAACTCCCTAAGCAGTCTTCTGACAGAATGGTAGCAGCACAGAAACTAGATGCACCTGTAACAAAAGGCCATGCAAGATACAAGCTCGGTTTCCTAATGATAGATCATATACTGTAGATGCTGAGAATTCACTGTTAGTTTAAGAAAAATACCCAAAAGCCTCTTGCGAGTAATATGTCCCCTGACAAAACGTTGTATCTCGATGGCTGCAACTTTGTGAGCACGAAAGGTCTTCCAGCAGTTTAGGCAACGAACAGCACTCTGAATTTTTGTCACAGCATGTTTTTGGCATAAGAACCTCCTTCTAGTCAGCCAACCACGGCAATGTCTCTGGATTCAATTGAGCAAAGCATAGACTTAGCATAGGAAAAACAGGAATCCTTGTCTACTGCCATCCTATTTCATCATATCACTGGTATACAAAGTCATCGAAATTGTAAAGGTCTTGGCTTTTTCCACAAGCACTCGCTCATTGTATGCACATTTAATCCAGGTCAACCATGACTAACTGTACGGGAGAAAGAACTTACTTGAAGGACACGTAACAGGTCTATAAGCCTCTCAGCTCCTCTACGAGCAATCCAAGCACGTACACAAGATTGAATCCTAATGGCCGATCGGATCATTCTGTCTTGCTCTCTCAAACATCTTAGGCGTCGATAATAACTTTGAATTCTTGTTGTTGCTCGCCGGAGGTTTAGAAATGCCTTCCTCGAAAACCAACCCCGAAAATTGCTTTGTATTGTAGTAGCAGCAAGTTGCTATATGGAAAGAAAACAACTCTGGATATAAATCAATTTTATTAAGCTCAAGAAAAGGTGCAAGCACTTTCTGTAAATAGCTTGCATGACTATGAAGCACAGGCAATACCAGTGCTTTCTCTTTCCGAGCAACCTTGTACCTACTCCTTGTTATCAAACTACGAGTATGTTTCTGAATGACAATTGCCGCACTGATTCGAGCACACATGGAAATAGCTTCTCTTCTGGCATTTAAAGCTCGAATATACTTCTGGCGCTCTCTGAACTTCCTAAACTCTGACTGAATGATGATTGCCGCATTGTTCTGTTTAGCTGCATTTTCGGAAACGGGTTGGGAAAATTCTGAAAGCTATCAATGAAGGGATTTAAGATTTGGACATTCAAACACACTATAATGTAGAGCAATGAGGTAACAAAACGGCCATAAGTAAATACCTCTTTCAATTTCCTTCCTCGCTAACCAACCCCGAAAATTGCTTTGTACTTTAGTAGCAGCAAGTTGCTAAATGGAAAGAAAACAACTTTAGATATTAATCAATTCTATTAAGCTCAAGAAATGGAGCAACTGCTTTGTGCAAGGGCTTGCATAACTATGAAGCAGAAGGAATACCAGTGCTCTCTCTTTCCGAGAAACCTTGTATCTACTCCTTGTTATCCAACTACGAGTATGTTTCTGAATGACAATTGCAGCACTGATTCGAGCACGCATGGAAATAGCATTTCTTCTAGCATTTAAAACTCGAATATACTTCTGGTGCTCTCTGAACTTCCTGAATTCTGACTGAATGACAATTGCCGCACTGTTCTGTCTACCTGCAATTTCAGAATCAGGTTGGGAAAATTTCTGAAAGCTATCAGTGAAGGAATTTAAAGGTCTGACCTTCAAACATACTATAATGTAAAGATTGAAGTGACAAAAGGGCCATAAGTAATACCTCTTTCACTTTCCACCTTAATTGTCTCACTTGGGCAGATTTGTGAAATCAATGGAGGTTCACCCAATTTGCTATTCAGTTCTGCCATATCTTGCCACCATGCCCTAATGGCCTTAAACTTACTAGCAGCATCTGCACAAACTTCAATGTGATGGCCAAGTCTTTGCTCCTCATTCAGCTCAGCTTGTGAAATCATGAACGACTTCTCGACCCTTGAATGTCTTCTCACCAGACTTTGACAATTGCAACCCAGTAGCTTATGAAAATTCAGTTGATCCTAGTAAATTGTAAGTCATTATTAAAACACTGATTATGCCAACTCTACAGAAACCATCTCTAGTAGATAAATCATCTGGCAATACCACGGCTTTCTTCGCTGCCAGCTGAGAGGA